GAAGAAGTTGAAGCTTGAAGAGTGGCCAATTGAAGACGCGAGGTTTCCTGGGAGAGAAACTTCAGGGGGCAGCGGAACGACAACAACGCTGGACTTTGAGTGAGTGATTCTCGGAAGAGTATCATTCAGACTTTTGTTACAAGGACTTTGGACTGAATAGGTTTTCTATCTCTTTAGTCTTTAAGTGTCTTGGTTGTTAAATGCATGCGACTGCATTGTAGTGTGAATTGTTGTCTGTGTCCGTTGTTTTGAGTGTGGCTGATTGTACTGTGTAGTACGTTGGTTGATTGGTGACATATTGTACTCAACTATTGTGGAGTGTGCATACTCGTGTATTGTTTTCGATCTGCCATTATTAAGAATATAATTTTGTTTGTTTATCAACTCTCGGCTCTGACTTGTTCTTTGGGCCACAGCCGGCGTCTGCTGGCGCACCAATAAGGGCCACTTCTAAATTGTCCACGCTTTCGTGGTGCGGTTCGGGGGGCCGATACTTCGGCTCTTGGAATTAGCCCGGCGATCGCCTCCCTAATTAACGGGACCTGTGTGGCAATTAATCTGGCGTCCGCGACACAGGACCTTTTGGTGCACAGTGTGTCCAAAGTAGTGAGAAAGAGCGTCGAGTTGTTGATAGTGCTATCGGAACGATTTTGTGTGTTGTTCAGTGTTCTCGTTAACGAGTGCAGGAGAGTGTTCCGATAGACTGATTTAGGCAGATACTATTTGCACGCGGCAAGGTTTTATTTGCGAGTTGCGAGACACCATGGATCTCGAAAAGTTAGTCGCTCTTGGTGAGAAGATGGGTCTTTCTGGCGCCGAACTACGGAAGTGGGTCACCCAGAAGGAAAAAGAAGAAAAAGAGAGGGACAAAGAAGAAAAGGCAGCTGAGCTGGAAAAAGAAAGACTGGCGGTCGAAAGAGCCAAAGCGGAAAAAGCAGCTGAGTTGGAACGAGAGAGGTTGGCAGCTGAAAGGGCGAGAGAAGAAAGAGAAGCAAAGGAGCGACAGCTGAAAGAAGAAAGAGAGGCAAAGGAGCGACAGCTGAAGGAAGAAAGAGAGCACCAATTGAAGTTGGAGCTGGAGAGAGAAAAGCTGGCCGCCGAAAGGGCGAGAGAAGAAAGAGAGCAGCAATTGAAGTTGGAGCTGGAGAGAGAAAGACTGGCAGCTGAGAGGGCGAAAGAAGAAAGAGAGGAAAGGGAACGGCAGCGACAGCACGAGATAGAACTCGAGCGGCTCCGTTTGCAACAGCGAAGTCAAACTCCGGTCCAAGCTAGAGTTGAAAGCAGCGAACGGGAGGACCACGGATTCCGCTTGAACCCAAGCAAGCTGCTCGTAGCGTTTGATGAAAGGAAGGACGACCTTGACGCGTACCTTCACAGATTCGAGACGATTTCAAGGAGCCAGAATTGGCCGGAACATCAATGGGCAACTGCTTTGAGTACCTGCTTGAGTGGTGAAGCGCTCAGTGTGTACGGCAGACTGACGCCGACCGATGCAACCAACTACGCAAAGGTGAAAGCTGCTTTGCTGAAGCGATTTAGATTTACTGTGGAAGGTTTCCGGGACAGATTTCGGACAGGAAAGCCAGCTGATGGTGAGACGGCTACGCAGTATGCCGCCCGACTTTGCCATTATTTCGACAGATGGATTGAACTTTCAGGGACAGCGCAGGAGTACGATGAGCTTAGAGAGCTCCTGATTAGAGAACAATTTCTTACTAGTTGCCACCCAAGCCTGTCGCTGTACTTGAAAGAGAGGAAGGCTGAGTCACTTGAAGGCATGCTCGAATTGGCTGATCAATTCTTGGAAGCGCAAGGTGGCACTAATTTGGCCAAGGTCAAGAAGGATTGTCCCGAGGAGTCGAAGAAATCGGCATCCGAACAAAAGAAGCGTGCATCGGAAAGTGTTCCGCGATGTTTTCTGTGTAACCGAGTGGGTCATCGCGCGAACAACTGTCGTACTAACTTTACGAGCCCTATGGTTGTAAAATGTTTCAAGTGTGGTCAGACTGGGCACAAAGCAGACGCATGTCGAAACGGAGCGAGTCAAACTCACCAGGTGTCCTGTGTGCTAGCAGCACCGAAATCCGAGGATAAGGCCGTCATAGATGGATTCATAGAGTTGAAAAGTGGGGAGAAAATTCCTATTGTGGGTGCGGTAATGGCAAAACAGCCAACCGGTGTTTCGAAGGGAATGCCAACGCTGCCTGGAAAAGTTGCAGACAAAAAGATCACGGTGTTAAGAGATACCGGCAGCTCCACTGTTATCGTGCGGAGAAATCTGGTACGGGAAAGTGAGTTAACAGGCAAAATGAAACCGGTTTGCCTAATTGACCGTACGGTTCGGATGCTTCCCGAAGCAGGGATTGAGGTTGAAACCCTGTACTTCAGCGGGAAGGTTACTGCTTTATGCATGACGACCCCCCTTTACGACCTTGTCATCGGAAACATCGCCGGGGCGCGAGGACCGAATGATCCGGAATGTTTGGGAGAAGACCCTAAGATAGAGCCCTCGCCAACCCAGCGACCGCGAGATACAGTGGAGGAGCATCCCGTGACGGATCTCACTAGAGCCCAAGGGAAAGCCGCGGCGCAAGAGACAGTGAATGAGAAGTTGATCGTGTTGAATGAGTTCGCGGGCCGAGCAACTGGACTTACGTCGGCACGAACTCAACCGACCGACAGTGTAAAGGAGACGGAGTTCGCCAGCCAAGCCCAATGCCGTGACATGAACAAGCTGGTAAATAAACAGACAGGACCCGTTGAACGTTATGACCCGTTAACGGTGTCGGAAGCGACAACGATGGCTGAGACGCCGCCTCAGATATCGTCGTTGGAAAGGGCTTGCCGAAAAAGAACGTGGAAACACAAGAAGAGATCGAGCGAGCACAGCAAGAAAAGGCGCAAGCGCCGCTCAAAGTACACAGGATAAGTGCTGAGGTCGAATCAGAATGTGTTTGGCAGTGCTGAGTGCCATATGTTGTGTTAATGTTCTTGTTATCCTGTGTCACAAGTGTATGTCGAGCGAGTCAAAGTGTTCTGTGCGATGATGTGATGTATAGTGTTGTATAATTGTTGTAAAGACAGAAGTTTGTACGTTTGTATTGTTTGGAATGTTTGATGAAGTGTTGTAGTCATGTACCTGTGGCTATATTTCATGTGTTGTGGAATTGAACTACAATGTATGATTGTATTGAGCGATCTATTGTGAATGTGAAGTGCCATGAGCGACGGTTTGTGTTACAGTCTTTCAGAGTGTGTGGTGACTGTTCGCGCTCGTTTGTGTGGTTTTGAATATTATGAGATAATATTCTTAAAGTGTGGGGCAGTGTCACAGAACGAGCGCTAAAAATGGGCGCGCCACCAAATTCTTGCGATAACGCGCGGGAGAGACGCCGCGAGGTCAAAAGAAAAAAAGAAACAAACATCCAAGGCTCCCCGGGCGCGCGCTTCTCCCCTCGGAAGCGTGGCTTCGCCGACGAACCTCCTCACCCCACGTCGGCGGCCGAGCAAGCACTGGAAATTTCTAGAAGGAAAGGGGCGTGTTATGCCGGGTTGAGTCATCTGTCGGGGATGGCCCTCGTACAGTCTCGCGCTTTTCCCCAGCCTCCGCTGCGCAACGCGCCGACGAAATAATGAGAACTTTCTAGAATGTCGCGCGGAAGGTATTTAACCGAGCAGCGGAGATGAGAAAGCAGGAGAAGACGGAAGTTAGCGCCAGAGCGCGTAGGGATTCCGCCGTGTAGTCGGCGAAGGTTTTGTCCGTAGGGACAAAGCAGGAGAAGACGTGAGGTTTCCTGGAAGAGAAACTTCGAAGGAGAATACGGAAGTTAGCGCCAGAGCGCGTAAGGATTCCGCCGTGTAGTCGGCGAAGGTTTTGTCCGTAGCGACAAAGCAGGAGAAGAAGAGGATTTCCACCTGAGGGGTGAAGGCTCGAGCTACAGGCAAGAGCGTGTGTTTACCGCTATCGAGCGAAGAGGCGTGGCAACAGCTGCGTGTGTGAAGCCGACGTGTTTCCGGCGAAGAAGTTGAAGCTTGAAGAGTGGCCAATTGAAGACGCGAGGTTTCCTGGGAGAGAAACTTCAGGGGGCAGCGGAACGACAACAACGCTGGACTTTGAGTGAGTGATTCTCGGAAGAGTATCATTCAGACTTTTGTTCCAAGAACTTTGGACTGAATAGGTTTTCTATCTCTTTAGTCTGTAAGTGTCTTGGTTGTTAAATGCATGCGACTGCATTGTAGTGTGAATTGTTGTCTGTGTCCGTTGTTTTGAGTGTGGCTGATTGTACTGTGTAGTACGTTGATTGATTGGTGACATATTGTACTCAACTATTGTGGAGTGTGCATACTCGTGTATTGTTTTCGATCTGCCATTATTAAGAATATAATTTTGTTTGTTTATCAACTCTCGGCTCTGACTTGTTCTTTGGGCCACAGCCGGCGTCTGCTGGCGCGCCAATAAGGACCACTTCTAAATTGTCCACGCTTTCGTGGTGCGGTTCGGGGGGCCGATACTTCGGCTCTTGGAATTAGCCCGGCGATCGCCTCCCTAATTAACGGGACCTGTGTGGCAAACCTACACTTACCAGTACATTTTCTAAGGTCTCGAGGGCTTGGTCTTCCAGTTGATGCAGCAAGTCGAGAACTGAATGTTTTCGTATGAGTACCCTTTTATTATATTGTCAATTACTAGTTTATGCTCAGTCTTTGTTTTGTGTTCTCACAATTCTAGGTGCACAGTGAACATTGACTGACATGTGGGGTTTAACGTCCCAAAACCATCATATGATTAAGAGAGACGCCGTAGTGTAGGGCTCCTGAAATTTCGCCCACATGGGGTTCTTTAACGTGCAGCCAAATATGAGCACACGGACCTACATTTCCGCCTCCATCGAAAATGCAGCCGCCACAGCCGGGATTAGATCCCGTGACCTGCGAGTCAGCAGCCGAGTACCTTAGCCATTAGACCACCGCGACAATGCTGCGCAGTGAACAGACAAACGTCGAAAGTAAAATTATTTTATTTGCCGGTGTTAATATAGTGTCATCCGGAGCTGTGAAGAGACAGTTGGTGTCTCGGCACCCATTTCCGAGTTGGCCACCATAGCATCAGATCCTCAGCAGTACATCGTGAACTTGAGCCACTGAAAGGAAAAGATGAAACAAAAACGGAGTAGTATATACTGTCATGTGAGCACGCCATTCATCCGAGATTATGATTTTCGCTATCTGAAATTCTGCTTGAGAAGTGTGACAACTAACCTCATTCCTACTGACAACCACCTCGTTCTCGTTTTCTGGGTCCCAGGCTTCGTAAATGTCTGAAACAAGAAAGGAAAATGGCATGAGTCACTTGATATACGTATTATGCAGGGGGTTTAAGGTAGCAATATATATATATATATATATATATATATATATATATATATATATATATATATATATATATATATATATATATATATATATATATAATCTCACGCGGACCCCGACAGAATAAGAAATAGGGAATAAAGACTTTCGTTAGTTTGACACTGTATATTTTCATTAACGTTTCGTCTGGTGGGCCAGACTTTGTCAAAGTAACAAGTACAATGAGGTAGGTTTCCTTATAATCACGCCTAAATGAGATATGCTCGCGGGGGTTATCGACATCAAGTTTGAAAAATAAAAACACGGTCATTTACCTGCAACATATACGAATCTATGTTGCATGTGAGTGACCGTGTTTTTAGTTGTATATGTATATATTCTGATATCTTGTTCTTCTATTTAGTGTCAGTGAACCACTTATGCGTATACACACCTTATATATGTGACTAACTGCAACTAAATTAAGTGAGCCAGCAAAAATTCTGGTTACTAAACATTTTCTTTCTTTATTGATGATTGATTTGTGGGGTTTAACGTCCCAAAACCACCATATGATTATGAGAGACGCCGTAGTGGAGGGCTCCGGAAATTTTGACCACCTGGGGTTCTTTAACGTGCACCCAAATCTGAGCACACGGGCCTCGACATTTCCGCCTCCATCGGAAATGCAGCCGCCGCATTTCTTTCTTTATTCTTTCTTTATTAAACGCGAAAAAAAAAGTTTGGGGTGGCTTTCCGACGCCCAGTGTCGGCTATACCAAAATAGTTGGTGAGAAAAAGAAAGTCAACTTATTCACAATGACTATAGTGAGAAAAACACGGACGCAGGTATCGGCTTGTTGCCAACTTGTTGGCCTTTTACAGTGCCACCATCGTCATTTACCAAAAGGCGAAGAAGAAGCAGGAATCGTGACAATTATCCGCATCCAATCTCTTTTATATCCTGTTGATGTTACGGATTTCATTCTTCGTGCAAAGGCTTATCATCACATCATTTTCACAGCAAGATGTTGGGGACTCTAAACGTCATCTGTGTTAGAGGTTTCACTAGTGGTGCCATTTATTTGGTGGTCTGATATAGCCGATAAACCGAAAGTGCTACTGCAATATGGTGGCTTGTACGAATTAACATTGGGTAGAAATAACTATAGACATGAGCCATAGTTTAAAAAGGAGACACCATCCAAATGTTTTGAGGTAACGAATTTTACTGAGTATTGAAAAGCCGGCGTGACGGCTTCACCAAGCGTATATTACAAATATGCCATTCATGTCGTAGGAAAAAAATATTAGCCCCGTATCTGCATGTTACACCGCAAATGTCGTCGAAAGACGGTAGTCTTGCATCTGGAGAGAGTGAACAAAACGTTTATTTGATGTTCTGCGCAAGAAAATTGGTGAATAGTATTCTGGAGGCGCTGCGTTAGAGTGCCTCGAGCGTGCAGCGGAGGCGAACGAGCGCATCAAGTCACGTCACACGTGAAACATGAGCGCTATCTGGCAGCTATCCTGGAAAACGGGGCGTGCCCATCGCTGAGGGGATAAGGTGTAGAACGCAAGGCGACGGTTAGGTGCCACCACCGTGTCGTCTTAGCAAAGCTTTGGATACACTTGCCGTTTCGTGCAAGCATTGCATGGCCAGCGCAGCGTTATAAAGGCTACGATCCTTAAAATTACTTATGTATGCCTTTTCTAGTAAAAAATTCACATACATATTATTGACGTGTTGCTATGGTAAATCAGATAAGCGCAATAATTGCTTTTTTAATTGACAGTCGCACAAGTATGATCACTGAACTTTGAGCAATATTGGTGGGCGCTACGGATGGGGTCGGTCACTTTGGTGCCGTGGTACCGTTAGGGTGGACAAACAGACAAATGTCCAGACAGACAGACAGAACGAAATTTTTGCGTCGAAAGTCCCCAAAAAGACTATCGTCTTCATAAAAAAAAAAGGCTGGCTGAAGAGCTGGAAAAAAATAGCCGACTCCCTTCTCCGTAGAAGGGAGCCGGATATAGCTACTTGCATTTTGCTGGTGCACCTCAGTCAACTCTAAAGAAGGAACAGAGTTGGTCCCGGATAATGGAGCTTCAGTTCAATAGTAAAAACGGTTACTTGACTGAATGGTCGGTCTCCTTTATTATTCGAAGGTTTTAGTTGAAGTTTCAGCTGCGGGTGCTGCATTTTCGATGGAGGCGAAAATGCTGTAGGGTCGTGTGCTCAAATTTTGGCGCACGTTAAAGAACCCCAAGTGGTTTAAATTTCGGGAGCCCTCTACTACATCGTCTCTCATAATTATATGGTGGTTTTGGAATGTTAAACCCCACATATCAATTAGTTAATGTTTCGTACTAACCGATCATGCACATGAGCTTGACGGCGCAGCCGATGAAATCTGTCAGGCTGATCTTGCGGTCATGGCCGTAACGTAAAACGAGGGCCTTCAGCACGTGCTGATTGACGCTGTATCCTGCGAAGAAACATTACGTATGTCACGAACAATTGCGTCATCTCGACTAGCGTTTCGTAAAGCGTTAGTCTCTAGTGAGTGTTAGCAACTGCATCGGTTGATGGCAACTTCTGCGCAAATCAGCACATGCTGTTCAATACACGCGATCGTTTGTTTAAAATACTTTCGTTTGTTCAGGTGTCGTCCCGTTGTTCGATATACGCGGCTTCGCAACAGTACCACTTCGAAGAATTTGGCAAAATTGATGGCGCAAAACATGCCTTTTTTCGTTTGTGAAGACCTTTAAAGCTCGATTCAGCTTTCATTTATCAACAAAACATGCACAAATATCGCGGCAGACGTGTACTATTGGCTGCGTCGCTACGAAGATTTTAATGAATGGCACAGTATCCTCACAAGTTATAGTTCATGTTTCCGCATACTTTATCTCCGTTTATAATTAACTTGATAATACTGTACCTATATAAACTTCAATAATGTGTTTCTTGCTTTTAAGGGCATGCAGTTATTTTCGGCACACAACCCATGTACGTCTGCATAAGTGTTCCTTCAAGAAACTCCAAGATGTCTTAATTTCGTCACATAAATTGCAGAAGATGGCGGACTGCTCAACTCACCTGCGGACCGAAGAGCATTTCTTAAGGCATACGTGCTGAGGTATCCGGTTGAGCCTTTGTCGTACGATTGAAATGCCTCCTGCATAAAAGGAAAGAACGCCCCGAATCGACGTCACCGTGAGCATAGTTTAGGTCCAGTCCACTGCACCTCCACAAGCAACTTCCACTTACGCTAGTGAGTTCCCATTCAACGCCTGTAAGTTGTTTGGGACCACGCAATCATCTGTATCCTGTATACCTGCGGACGTAGTCAACTGAATTCTGCGTTCCCTGAAGTCTTGGCTATTGAGCTATTGTAAATTTTGGTTAAACGTTGGACGTAGTCGTAGCCGTCCAGAAAGCGCCTTGCCAAAAGACTTTTTTTTTTCGCATTGGCTCAATATTTAACAACTTATATTGAATGGCCATGCGGCTTAGTCTCCGAGGCCAACTTCAGGGTCTTTAGTTCCTTTCCTTGCTTCAGCTAGTGTCCCCAACTTTCTCCGTGGTTGGTCACTTTCTCAACTTTTTCCGCGGACGGTCAGAAGTGATTCATAAACGTTCCTTACATCGTTTACTATTTGGTCGATGCAGCTTTCCTCCATCATGCGCATTCACTTCGTGGATCGGCAGCAAATGTTTTGTTCCATCGCTGGCCGCACACTATAGCTACCTTCGGTTATTCGTTATGTTACGAATTTTCAGTCTTGAGCTATATGTTTACAAGTTTCACGTCACGGTGCGTTAAGCTCCTGCAAAGTGGTCAGAATAAGTCGTCGCTTGCCTATTCCAGTCCTATTTCGTATCATTTATACGCCGGCTGTATACGTTAAACTGTATATACTGTTCTTAATGAAATTCAAGTTCGACAGCGCTTACCTTCCACGTTTGAATGTGTTTGTAAAGCAAGGCAAACTCTTCCAGTGTCAACGTGCCGGTGTAGTCGTCCTAGGGCAGAATTGTTAAGGTAATCACGAGCGGCATATGTTAGTAAAAATAGGTGATTTCCATCCGGGTTATGAGACATTTCCACGTAAGCTTTTTTTTTTTTGATAACAGAAGGAATCAGTTTTATTTTCGTCATCAATGCGCGAATAACAGATGCCAGTGCAGCGCACTGATGGCATACCTTTAACACCATAAAAATTACTTTGCGTTGAAGTCTTCACTAATCAGCGCAAATAGTAAGTGTTTAAAGTGAGTGTTTAAACATAAACTTGCACTTATCACTCGTTCATTTTATAAATACTGCATTATATGTATGAAGCATGGTGCCTGTGGCCTGTGCTTATGAAATGTCAATACACTTGTAGAGTTCAGTATACGAACATGTATAGATACAGTGACAAATATATGCTCCTTACGTATATTAGGCAACAATAGAGTGCTCTCAAAACTCTTTTCTTTCTTTCTTTTTGCATTGAAGGATACATCAATGAGTGCCACCATGCTTCGACATATGTCCAAGGAGAAATCCAATGGGCCGCCATCTGAAATTAGAGAAAGAATATTCAAAAAGCAAAAAGAACATCGGGAAAGGAGCAAAAGTTGCATCCAACTTTCTGCCCTACAAAAAGAAGGGGAAACTTGTAGTTCACTTTATGCCTATTATTCCAACGAGTAGGTAGCAAAGCAAAGAGAGACAGTAATTGGCGTGGCTCGATTTAGCCATTCTGGTCTCCTTCTATTCTATGTTTACCCTTGAGCTAACAGCTTCTTGCGTACAATCCAAGTTTCAGCGTGGCAGTTCACTCGATGTGCCCGAGTGTGCTGCCCAAGTGAGTCAGTGTTATGCATGCTTGAGAAATAGCACTTGGTACAGCACAGCCAGCCAAATAAATTACATGTCCGCAAGTATTGGTCAATCGAGCCCTTTTCCGTGCGTGCATGTTTCCTCCCACGCAAAAAGCTTACCGTATAGCCGCAATTTTCGTCTAGTGAATAAAAATTGAATAAATTGAGTGGTCACCATTCAGCACTCCGTCACTTTTTTAAAACACTCTTTCTAAGGCATACTGCAGGGAAGGGGACAAATATGCTGATAACGAAGGATCTTCTATCACTACTACTCACATTAACTTCGAAGACGCATGCAAAATGAAAGTCTAATGGATTCACATCTTTCATTAACATCGCCTGGGCTACGAGGGTGATCAAAGGGTATATGCTCCTTAACGTACTCTGCTCTGACAAGTTCTTGAGCAACGTCTTGAGGGCGTTGCAGCAGACGGTCCCATCTTCAGCGGCCACCTCGTTGAAGGCGTCCTTAAGGCTCTCGTCGATCTCCTCTTCACTGTCTTCACCACCATCTTCACCGTCTTTCTCATCACCGTCGACCTCGTTCGTCGCCTCGTCTCCAGTAGCTTTTTCGTGATTTTCTTTGCCGTCATCTTTCTCTTTGCCCTGTGGTGTACAGGTATAACATGTTACAACTGATAAAGACCAAGTGATGACGTCTTATCTTTGAAAATGCTTTTTTTTATGGTCACGCCTTACTTCGAAACGTAGACTGTACTTCAGTTTGCTCAGTAATATCAGAATGAGAGGTCAACTGTATCACTATATAGAGGCGCTAACTATTGTTGATTTAAAGCATTTCTTCGCACTGCTTTGCTGGTGCTTTTTTTTGTGCCCGATAATTAGCACACAAGGTCTTACATGGTTGTACTCATGATTAAAACACTCGCACGTTGTGGTAAAAGTGTTTTTCCAATTTCCTTGCTTCAATGTCAGACGTGTAAAAAAACAAAAGACGCACACAATCAGAACTATCTTATCTGCGAGATTGAGGAGGCACTTTGTCACGTTGTACAACCCTATACGAACTGCTGTAGCCAACGATGCGGTTTCGCACGACTGCACCAGATTTCGGCTATCGTGTTTACTGTATAGATCAACGATAGAGACATACTGACCTCGATCGGCTTTGAAATTATGGCTGGTGCTTCGTCGTGTTCCCTGAAAAGATCGTCATTCATACGACTTATTACTGCACTGTCGTTCGCAACACGCGGAATTGTTAGTAGGACACAGCATAACCCCTTCCCTTTTAAAGACGATAGTCTTTCTTAGGGACCTTCGACGCAAAAAATTTGGTCTGTCTGTCTGTCTGTCTGTCTGTCTGTCTGTCTGTCTGTCTGTCTGTCTGTCTGTCTGTCTGTCTGTCTGTCTGTCTGTCTGTCTGTCTGTCTGTCTGTCTGTCTGTCTGTCTGTCTGTCTGTCTGTCCTGTCTGTCTGTCCTGTCTGTCTGTCTGTCTGTCTGTCTGTCCTGTCTGTCTGTCTGTCTGTCTGTCTGTCTGTCTGTCTGTCGTCTGTCTGTCTGTCTGTCTGTCTGTCTGTCTGTCTGTCTGTCTGTCTGTCTGTCTGTCTGTCTGTCTGTCTGTCTGTCTGTCTGTCTGTCTGTCTGTCTGTCTGTCCTGTCTGTCTGTCTGTCTGTCTGTCTGTCTGTCTGTCTGTCTGTCTGTCTGTCTGTCTGTCTGTCTGTCTGTCGTCCTGTCTGTCTGTCTGTCTGTCTGTCTGTCTGTCTGTCTGTCTGTCTGTCTGTCTGTCTGTCTGTCTGTCTGTCTGTCTGTCTGTCTGTCTGTCTGTCTGTCTGTCTGTCTGTCTGTCTGTCTGTCTGTCTGTCTGTCTGTCTGTCTGTCTGTTCTGTCGTCTGTCTGTCTGTCTGTCTGTCTGTCTGTCTGTCTGTCTGTCTGTCTGTCCACTCTTAACGACATCGGGTACTTGAAACAGCCGACCCCATCCGCAGCACCCACCTTGTTGCTCAAGGTTGAGCGTTCATGCTTGTGCAATTGTCAATTAAAAAGCAATTATGGCGCATGCCTGGGGCACCATAACAACACGTATATATTCTGCATGTGCGTCTCTTACTAGAAAAAGCATACATAAGTAATTTTAAAAACCGTAGCGCTTATCGGTGCGCTGACCATGCAACGCTTGCACGGAAAGGCGAGTGTTTCCAACTCTTTTCTAAAACGAAACGGTGGTGGCACTTACCCGTCGCCTTGCGTTCTACACCTTATCACCTCTGAGATGGGCACGCACACCCGTCTCAGAGCCAAGCGTCTTGTTTTCTAAGACAACTGCCAGATGGCGCTTATGTCTCACGTGTGACGTGACTTGTTTCATTGTGGCTTCGCTTGTGCGTGTACGGGCTACATCTCCAACAAATTATTCATTTATATGCAAAATTGTAGTGCTCATTACCGGTGCATTGACAAGCTGAGAAAGATTTTCCGGATCTTTCTTTATACTATAGACTTCTCTCCTTTTTTTGTTACTCTTCAAAAATTCAAGAGATCAGTCAGCGCCACGTGTTGCCATTACGTAATTACAACAAGTGGCGTGGACTGACACTCCCGCGCTTAAATGCGCATATCTACCCTAAAAGTAGCTTAGTCGTAGAGCGTCGGACGTGTTATTCGAAGGTCGCAGGTTCGGATCCTGTCGGTGGCAAGTTATATTTTCGTCCACTTTTTTTTCACGTTTACATTACAGTCACATCTAATAACATCCCATATATATACTTTCCCTGGCATTATTGTCTGTTAGTTCCTATGAGCCTTATGTCATCGTTGCACTACAAAACTTGAAAACGAACGACCAACAAGCCCTAATTTCTTGAAGCAGTCGACTGTAGAAAAGCAAAAGACGAATTCTGCAGTAGAAGTGGCCAAAAGCAAGAACAGAGTATGAAATAGGATTTAAGCATGCACGGAGAATGGGTCATCAGACTGCGTTAAAAGAACAAATACGGAGAACGGTGTGAAGACACGCCCAGGTATTTCTACATGGCGCGTATATTCGCATGTCGATTATGTCGGCTTTGTAAAGTTCACTGAAACATTGCGAATGTTACGCTGCGGAGAATGCCGACCATTTTGTGAGCTCTTGCGACTCCCTTTCTTGCTAAATAAGCCAAAACTAGTTTATATTTCAGTCTTGCGCGCTGCCTACTTCCTAACTATTTGCTGTTTTATTTTTATATTTTGTTGTGCACACTTTTTTGCTAACCGCAGCGCGACCTATCAAGAGATTAGTCGGCGCCCTAGAGCTTATGAGCTACGAATGTTTTGAGTAAACAACAACAACAACAACAACAACAACAACAACAACAACACACAAACATTTCAGCATAGATCGAGAGTGCCTCGGTTACCGTCAGTACACTCGTATGCATGGGCTTCGCGAAGTTTTCGTATAAACACTATAGTGGTAAAAAAGCGTGCAACTACTGACCTGCACTGACACTTCTTTTCCGTGTATATCCTCAGAAGGAAGTCTCCCGCCTTGTCGGCTTCCGCCGTTAGGGGAATTATGCAGAAGGTGCCCGGAAGCAGCCGGAACCGGGTAGTGTTCTCGCGGGAAGGGCTCAAGTGTTTGCTTTGGCCCACTTGTCGGTAATCCGCCATGTACTCGATGGTCAACGGGGCTGGGCAGTTGTCAGGGTCTTCGATCTGCGACGCAGAACTACGAGGTTTAGGAAAATAGATAATTCAATTCACTACAGGGACAGTCACAAGGCGACTACGCCTGAATGTATCCAGCCCATATCGCTACACTTCTCCACGACAAAGAAAAAAAGTTCTAGAGTGTCGGCGTTTGACTGCTAGAGGCCCTACATTATATAAATGAAGCCTTGGAGAACGACGGCAGAAAGAGAGCATCTGACACTTGTTTCTTTATTTTGTCTTTTTTTTCTTGTGTGTCACAAATGTTGTACCCACCCCCTCTGTAATGCCCTACGGGCCCTGAGGGTGTTCTAATAAATAAATAAATAAAATGTTTGCTCTATGGCATGCCCAGCGTGCTACTGATTGATTGATTGATTGATTGATTGATATGTGGGGTTTAACGTCCCAAACCACCATATGATTATGAGAGACGCCGTAGTGGAGGGATCCGGAAATTTCTGTCACCTGGAATTCTTTAACGTGCACCCAAATCTGAGCACACAGGCCTACAACGTTTCCGCCTCAATCGGAAGTGCAGCCGCCACAGCCGGGATTCGATCCCGCGACCTGCGGGTCAGCAGCCGAGTATTTTAACCACTAGACCACCGCGGTGGGGCAGCGTGCTGCTCCAGTGACAATAATGAAGCATGGAGTGGTTATACACAGTGTGAGGTGTGGAACTGTACACAAAAACAAACCCACCACATTCAAAGAAATAAACTATTTCTGTGAGACGAGGCTATCTAATAATAAATAATTGGCCGGTCGTTTTAGAGTGCTTTTTGTAAAAATTCCCTTGCAAAAACTGATTATCCTGATAGTAATCGAATGTTTACAACGTGTAGCGCGGTGCCACAAGTGGCCAGTCGACCGGGGAAAAATAAGAGTGCTGCGTGGCTCGTGCACGGTGGCGTGAGTTGGTTAGAACGTTCTGGCTCGTACGTGGCTGGTCTAGAAGTAAGTTGCAATCGCTTCTGCCCACACCCGCGTACCAATAAAGCCGAGACTATGCATGGCCTAGTCAGCCGCTGTTACGTCTTCCTGCTCTATACAAGCGCAGATGATGATGATAATGATGACTCTATTCAGGTCCAGAGAACATGCAAGACAGACCTCGCGCGACTTGGCTAATCCCACGTGTGGACCACCAATGTAACTGTTTTAAATGCGGAGCATTTCTTAGTCGAACTATGTCGCGGATCCGGCGTCGGCCGTCCACACCTCCACTGCGCATGCTCGCGTCCCGTGCCGGAGCAGGAAGACACCTGTAGAACTGTCGCTCCCCTTCCCTCTCTCGCCTCGCAAGGCCGACGCAGGCTGAACGGTTGTGCCGCTCGTGATCTCCGACGTCAGCGTAGCTCTCGCCGACTGATTCGCACACCGCGACCTTCTGACGCCGTGCAGCTCTCGCCGTGTGGTGCACCATCCTCGGACTTTTTCGACCGGCTCCCAACTTTCATATCTCTTTCTTTTTCTGTCGATTGCCTGTTCTATTTATTAACCTATTTACCACTAATATTTTTATCCCTCCTTCTCCCACCCCTACAAGGCACTGCGCAGCGTCGGCAACAGGCCGACCGAAATAAATGCCTTCTTCTTCCGCTAACAATCTCTATATATTTCCCAACATCAGCGTCCCACCAGTCGTTGAGCCCCGCCGCGGTGGTCTAGTGAGTAAGGTACTTGGCTGCTGACCCGCACGTCGCGGGATCGAATCCCGGCTGCGGCGGCTGCATTTCCGATGGAGGCGGAAATGCTGTAAGCCTGTGTGCTCAGATTTGGGGGCACGTCAAGGAACCCCAGATAGTCGAAATTTCCAGAGCCCTTCACTATGGCCTCTTTCATAATCATATGGTGGCTTTGGGACGTTAAACCACAAATATCAATCAATCAGTCAATCAATCAATCATCACTCGTTGAAGGCAACGCTTCTCCTTCATTTAGTAAATAGAGACGAAATATCAATTAGGTATTCCCAAACCATACCCGATTACGCAACATTCATGCGATATCTTCACCACACTGCGACGCATTTATTTGAGTTCCCCCCTTGAAAAGATGCGGGCAGCTTTTTTTTTTTTTTTCAGAGCACCACGAACACGCGTTAAAACACTCCGGCGCTCTCACTTTCGACCTCGCAGCGCGACTGAGATCTGAGAAGTTCCGGCCTTGTGACTCCTATTGCTAGCGTTCTTGCACGGCGGATAATTTTATCCAGCGGCCGTGGTTCTTGTCAAGACGTCATCGCGATAGCGCTCCGAGTGCCTGTGCAAGTTGTTTGCAGCAGCGACGACCTGTTTCCTTTTCAATTCAACTTCGTTTATGTTCACCGCCAAAATTAAACGTGATAGATGAGGATTTCGCGGTAAAAACCATGTCAATAGTTCGAGAACGCCGTGAACACCTTTATATAGGCATCCACACGCTCTTGCGAGCAGCTGATTCCTTATCCTATACAGTTCAGATTGATCGCAATTTCCTGTTCGAACAAAAGTGAAGCACGTGCATGCAAATGAGGCACGTGTGGCTACCTCGTAGAGAACGAAGCCGATGTCGAGCCACATGTCGTCGTGAACCTGGAAGACTCGACGATTCTTCTGCAGCAGCGCCACGATGACCGTGCACTCCCCGTCTTCATCTTCGTCATCCGGCTCGTGAAGGGTGATCATGTACTGAGGATTGGTGGCGAACTTTTCTGCAAGCCAAAGGCAAGGATACCGCTTTGTAATTCGTCTTTCGGCCGGATATGACGTTTTTTTTTTACAAGCACGCTAGAGATACTATACACAAACCTTTGGAAGTAAATTATATGCTCTAGGACGTTAAAAAAAATGAAAACGCTATCGAGAGCTGGCGTGCGACAGAAAACTTGTTCTTACTTCGGCTTGCGGCTTACTTGGTGACTCATTACAACTTCGACAAAGTAAAGATATATGCTTCGAGTTTTCTCATACCATTCTTCTCGTCGGCGCCGCCAGCAGTTGTTCCAGGTATCCAGGAGCCTTCAAACTTCGCCACCTCCCACGTTTTCTCCTGGCCGGATTCCTTTATTTCACCCACCGCAGAACCGGGATCGATATGGCAGAAGTCAATCATCTGGAAATACTTGAGGAAGTCTTCCTCCGAAATCCTGCGTCAATTGCAATATATCTGTTACAAAGATGAAAGCCTTAATATGGCCACGTTAGCGTTCCCCTCCACGATACTTTGCGGGACTTTTGCGAAACCGCAAGTGCTCACAATGGTCTCGTAAGGAATTTCAAGGTCTTGGAAAGCTCCGTCGAAAAATCCACGTAGCCTTCTACGAGAGAGCGATTACCTATTAGCATGTTGCAATATTGTCGCTCTATCAGACGTCACTGGGCGCATCAATAAATAATGACGTAATTATCAAGACGTCACACGCCTACGTCAGTGCACGGTGATGACATTTCGGCATGACAAGGCTTGTGACACCAATTATCACCACACCATCACGCCATCGTCATCACGTCACGTACACCTGACGTATATCACTAAATGGAGATTTCGTATCAGCATGACTTCGTTTTGTGGCGTCATCATGATTTCATTGTGACGCCACACACGGCGTCGTTATCTATCGATATCATCAATAGGTCTAGTTGGGCCGATCTCAGAGGCAGTGCAGCACTGCTCACTTCAAGTCCAGAAAGCTACAGTGGAGTGGGTACGAATATTATAAGCGGCTGTGAACAAACTGGCTTATGGCATGTCCGCTACACTGCGGTTAATTGTCTTGCAGAGGTCTGATCCCATATTGTTTATTTCCACGAACCATCAAGAGCACAGCAGGTTTTCACCTTCAAATGTTATACGAGTGGAACATGCTGCTTCACCCCCCCCCCCCCCTTAGAATCCGCATATGCAGTTCTATTCCGGCAGATCCGTTCCTCTATTGTATGCTATGGAGTTGGGCATGAAATCCGTAGGTTTAACTCGCTAATGAGTCGTGATACGCATATTCATGGGCAGCGCACACTGACCAGAGGGAGCTGCATAGTACACACTGCTCCGTCTTAAAGTATTTGACATTCACCGTTAGGGGCACGCATACCCAGTGTATCCCGGCCACAATCCGCCGACAGATGCACGGCGCGAGACACGCCCGTCTCAAGGTTGCTTTTCTTTTTTAGGGGCGAAGCTCCTTATAGCGGCACCAGTTTGTCCCTCGTAGTCGTAGTAATAGTCGTAGTGTGTAACCAGTCTTACATTTTGACCTCCAAGGTGGTGCCGGTGAGAGATTTCTTCTGTGCGTTGTTGAACAATAAAAAATTCGCAGCGTGCGCGTTAACTAAAAGCCGAATTCTTCTGTCTCTCATTACCTCTTAGCAGCCATTGGCATGTACATTGAGCACTGACAAGGAAGGGTTGCTACGTTATACTCGCCGGGCATACCCTCCTTGGTTTTAGAAAGGTTTAGCGAGCGTTGGACCGCAGTGCCGTGAGAAAGAGAAACGAGAAAAAAAAAGGAAGACAGGGAGGTTAACCAGATGCTAGTATCCAGTATGCTACCCTACACTGGGGTTTGGGAATAGGGGGTTGAAAGAGAAAGGGAGAGTTAAAAAATAAATAAGAGAAAAACACGACACACACGCACACACAAAATCAGTTCATTCAGAGGCGTTCCGATAGGCCAGTAGTTCACAAGAAGCCCAGTAGCGCTTGCACGGCTTTCTTCTGTGACGATGAGTCATGACGATGGCGCAGTATACTTTCTTCTGACAGTGGCTGGTCATCTAACCTGTTTAGTTTATTAGAAAGGTGTTGTCTTTCCAGGTTGTATTTCGAGCAGTCACACAGGATATGCCGAATGGTTTCTTCATCTCCGCAGTGTGCACAGTCGGCAGTGTCGGCCATACTTATGCAGAACGCGCACGCACGGGTAAACGTGACTCCCAACCATAGTCTGCACAGAGCAGTAACGTCGCCTCGTCGAATTTTTGTTGAAAGCTGTATGCTTAACGTTGGATCAAGGGATCGTAATCTTGCATGCGTAAAAAGGAGGCTCATTCCAAAGAGCCATGAAGCGTTGGCGAGCGAGCATGTGGAGCCTCCTAGTAGCGTCCTTCCTTGAGAGAGGTATTGACTGGTTGTTGTCTTCTGTATGGGCTGAACGGGCAGCTTGATCAGCTCGTTCGTTACCGATAATTCCACAGTGGCTTGACAACCACTGAAATATAACGTGGTGCCCTTTCTCTGTTATATGGTGTAGCATTTCTGCTGTTTCAAATACCAACTGCTCGTGTGGACCACGGCGTAGATTTGACAGAAGTGACTGCAGTGCCACCTTGCAGTCGCAGAAAATCGTCCACCGTTGCGTGCTTTGGTCGTTAATGAAATGCAGCGCAGCGCGCAGCACTGCAAGCTCTGCTGCCGTTGTTGTGGTTGCATGAGCTGTTCTGAATTTGATGGTTGTGGCGTGCGTTGGAATAACGACCACCGCAGTTGAGCTGTTTGGCAGGACGGAGCCGTCGGTGTAGACGTGGGTGAAGTCTTGGTACTTCTCGTACAGCAGAAGTAAGGTGAGCTGCTTGAGGACCGGTATTGAGAAATTTCGTTTTTTCTGGATGCCTGGTATTGTCAGGTTGATGACTGGCTGTTTGAGGCACCATGGAGGAACTGAAGGTCTCGCCGCGGGCGTAAAACCAGTTGGTAGAGAGTCACCATGCGCAGTTATTGCTCGACAAAAGGAAGTATGAGGTCTATCCACTGGTAGAGAGGCTAGGTGGTGATGGGGTATCCGACCCACATGCCTTATGTGTGTCCTCAAAGCTTCAATTTAAATATGGGTCTGTATGAGGTGGTCTTTGGCTATAGCTATATTCGCCATTGTTGAGGCACCCTGAGGCAGACCTAGACATATTCGAAGAGCCTGTGCCTGAACGCTTTGTATCATGCGTCTACTTGTTTTGCTGGCGTTTGATAATGCAGGCAGAGTGTATCGTAAAAAGCCAAGAAAAAGCACCCTGTACAGTCGTAACATAGCGTTAGGCTGCATTACCCAAGTCTTTCCAGCGAGAAACTTGAAAAGATGGCATATGCCTGTCAATCGCTTTTTCAAATAGCACACATGAGGGCTCCATGATATGTCTCTGTCGACTATGACACCCAGAAATTTGTGAGGTCGACGATATGGTATATTTTGACTGTTAATTGACACTCTGTAATTCGACATGGGTTTGCGCGTAAATGCCAGAAGAGCGCACTTTCCGGAGGAAATTTCCAGGCCTCGATTGTGTAGATACAAAGCAGTTGCAGTAGCAGCTCTCTGTATTCTCGCTCGTAACTGCAGGCGAGTTACCGCAGATGTCCAGATGCAGATGTCATCAGCGTATGTTGATAGATAAATATTGTTTGGTAGGTGCGTATGGAGAGCAATTAGTGTTATATTGAATAGCACGGGGCTCAGTACACCACCCTGAGGGACGCCACGACAACTGAAATGTGCAGACGTGTTCCCGGTCTCTGTACTCACAAAATAGGATCGCATTTGGAGATAACTGCGTATCCACTTAAACATTCGGCCACCCGCTCCAATCTCTTCTAGTGTGGTAAGGACGGCTTTATGTGTAACGTTATCATAGGCTTCTTTGACTTCAAGGAACAGAGAGGCGCAAAGACGCTTATGGCCTTTCTCGTGTTCAACGTACGTGATTAGGTCAATGACGCTATCGATTGATGATCGACCACGTCAAAATCCAGCCATGGCATTTGGGTAGATCTCATGATACTCCACGTACCACTCGAGTCGGCTGAGAATCATTCTCTCCATCACTTTACCCAAGCAACTAGCCAATGCGATTGGGTGATAGGAGGAGATTTCCAAAGGTGATTTGCCAGGTTTTAGCAGTGGTACTAGACGACTAGTTTTCCAATTTAAGGGGACAGCGCCCTCTAGCCAACAATCCTTATATAGTTGAAGTAGAGCTACTCTCGCGCGCTCACCCAGATGACACAGGGCTCTGTAGGAGATTCCGTCAGGTCCTGGTGCGGAGGTAAGTTTGCATGAAGCGAGTGCTGCCTTGAGCTCCTGAATGGTGAACGGGAAGTCCATACAGGAATCACGTGGTGGCAGACAACTGCTCGAAAGTGGTGAGTGGCTAAGTGCTGTAGTTTGCCCTGATAATCCGGCACAGAAATCTTCAGCAACGTCCACATCTGGTCGATTTTGGTGAAGGGCTAAGGCCTTAAATGGTGACTTAATTCTGAATGGGGGATGACCGCAAACCTCTAACCGTCCTCCATATCTGCGATAAAGGCTTATGAGGGTCGAGTGACTCACAGAAAGTAATCCAGCGTTCGAATTCTAGCTCGTCCAACCGACGTTTGATCTTCTTCTGCATACGTCTAGCAGTCCGTAAATCTATGTCCTTCGGGCGCCGGTACCTCCTTTCAGCTCGTCGTCGCAAGGCTCGAAGCCGCTCCAGCTCTATGTTGTGACGTCCCCGCAAACACGGACTGAACCCCGGTCATTTCAAAATGTTTTCGCTCGTTTCTTAAACCCACACATAAAAAAAAAGAAAAGAAAACCTTCGATGTAACGAATGGGCATTCCGGAGTGGAGTACCTGGAAGGATTATTTCTACTGTTCTCACGCCCCCCCCCCCCCCAAACACGAGGACCGGGCGGCGCCTTGTGGTCTACAGACACTGTGACAGTGTACCGTGGCAATAACACGCGCACACCCTTCAGATTTGTGGCATGGGGGAGCAGCAGAGCATCTTTTGTTGGTTCGGGGAACGCGACCCTGCCGCAGCGCCTGTGCCGGGTCCAGTCTGACTTTCCGTCAGCCTCCGTGGCTCCAGGGCTCATTACTGCGTTCTGCGCGGATGGCCACCCGCGGCATTGAATGACGAAGCGGCGGCTACGGAGAATTTCGCGGGAGAAACCGAGCTGCATGGAGACGTCGGGACTCGTTCTGGACATCGGTTCATCAAGTACCAGAAACCGGGACAATTGGTTCGGCCAAAAACATTTTGGCACAACATTGCAAACTCCAGACGTTGGCCATTATAGACGACGCACATTGTCGGAAGCATCGGGACCATTGTTCGCCCGTAATTAAAGTGTCTTCGGACAGCTCGCCCATCTCTCTCCCTGAGGCTTGAGTTTGTACATTGTTACCTGCTCGGCTTTGTTTGGGAGAGGGTTTTCTACTGGTGTGGGCCGCGGGAGCGGCCGTCGAAGATGACACACACCGACTGACAAAGAAATATGCCGCGTCGATGGTGGCGATTGGTTTGGTGCCCCGGTAGGGCGGAGTCGGGTCTTACAAAAAGGGACTACGAGACGATAGGAGAGGGTCAGAAATACGATGCGAAGAAAGTAAGAGATATACGATTCGATGAGCTCGAGGTGGTAGAGAGACGGAATGGAAAAGGAAGATAACGGTGAGAAGAGATAGCGATGAGAGGCGATGAGATGATGACTGGGACAAGGACGGTACGATGAGGAATGAAAGTTAGGGATAGGAGGCGAGTGAATGGAACGTTTCGAAAGAGGGCTAAAATGGAAATCACTGAGAGGCACGACGAAGGCGACGATGACGAAGACAATGAAGACACTGACGAATTGGACAATGACCCCAGGAAGAAGCCCTGAGCCCCGACTCGAACAACCAGCTCCGAGACCCCCGTCAACATGGACCTTTCGTGAGACGGACTTTATGCATCTTATTTAGATTAGCTTTGCGGGAATGGAGGTGGCGATTTGAGACATTGCGCGGTTTTATTAATTAAAGACTTTATCATTTGTGTCGTCGTGTGTTTTTTTATATACATACCCTTGTATTGTTACAGTTACTTTCATTATGTGCCTGCCCTGTGTCGAACGTCGTGAGTGCCTAAATCGTGTTATAATTTTGTGTAGTGGTTGATGTACGCGGGTATACGATGTTGGCAGTTAGTATTAAATTTAATTAATCAGTAAACAGAAACAGGTCGTAGCGTCTCTTACTTCCCGGCCCCAGCACGAATCCCTGTATGCGGAAAGTGATTGAGACACGTAGCCAAGAGGGAACCGGATAGAAAAGGGGTTGCGTGGTCTTCCCTCTCTTTGGTAATCGGTGGCGTAGTGGGGGACGTCTCAATGTCGATGTCCATGATTCTGACAGGGCATGGGATCGTACACACAGTCTCTTTTACAGTGCTCTTGATGGCCTCTTGTAAATCGCATATGTGTTCTTGGCATTGGTCTTCCATACGAGACTGAAATTTTTTCCAGTCCACTCTTTTAACCATGTCGCGCACTTTAGGAGGCGACAATCCTCTGATCTTGACGTACGTTAGAATGTGATCACTCCCATGCGTTTTTACATCCGTGAACCGCAGTGCCATGAATACAGTGAACTAGTATATACCATGAACTCGTGGTGGTTAAAGGTGGGAAGTAGACACGAAGCGCAAGCCGTAAGAAAGTGTGCGTGTGCCACTTCTCATTTAGTCCTTGGAATGTCCGCTGGATGGCGGTGCATATTCGGCATATATGATGAAAAGATGCGAGATGGTAGTGTTGGGAGATGGGGCTTGGAGTGTTGAATAGATGGACGAGCGCACACACAGACAGATGCATGGACGGACTCACGGATGGCTGCACCGACGGATGGACGCATGGACGGACGCACAGATGGATGTGCGGACGCACGAACAGGCGCACGCACGGACGGTCAGACAGACGGGCGGATGCTTCTCCCCACTCTCCATCATTCACTCCATGGATATGCTGCCATATTTTTTTTATCCGCTAGGCCATGTGTTCTGGCGCTGCAGTCAGATTAAAAAAAATCAATTGAACGACTAAACGCGTGGAAGCGTTAAGCGGCATTCAGATTGAACGCATTTTATGGAGCTGCTATGCAGTTGAACCGTTTTTTGTTACTGACACGCAATGGATCGTTGTGACAGGTTACAGCTATTTCGTGCCACCCTGATTTGTCAAAAGAGTGAAGGCGTACCGCCTATCCAGTTGAAGAAGGAACTAACAGAGGTTGGCAGGTGGGCGAAGCTATGGCAATCTTATGGCAATGTTCAATCCGGCGGGCAGCGTGACCACCCTCACTGTACATGCTGAACAGCTGGCCCCACCAATGCCAGAACACGCTCACACGCTAGCGCTTTCCGGCTGGTGTAAGAAGGAGGAAGAAAGTTTAAGCGGGTAAGAGGCTGGGTAAAAGGCTAGGCCCTCTTTCCCTTACAATCTCTTAGCAGTCATGTGATGGCGTCGGGGAACGAGATCCTGCAGACGCGCGATGAATCACGTGCTCCCGCGTTGATGAACCCGCGATGAAACCGCGTGGCGTACTCCAACAAGAGTCCTGGACGAGTAACAGCAACAGAAATTACATTGAATTCATGGTGCGCTGCACTTGCAAGGACGCGTTAGCATCGGACAAAGTGCCCGTGATGAAAGGAGAGAGAATAAAATGAGGGAAAGGCAGGGAGGTTAACCAGAAAATGGAGCATCTGGTTTGCTACCCTGCACTAGGGGAAGGGGGGAATGGGGAAGAAAGATTGGAAAGAAAGCGAAGAGGGAAATAGACGCGTGTGAAAAAAAAAGGGGGGGGGGGATGTGGGGTGCTACAGTCTATACAATAGGCCGCTGCCACGCAAAAAGTTCAGTAAGGCCTTCACTGATTTTCTGTGAGCACACAAATCATCTCGTCTTTCCAGCACTGATTGTTCAGACAAAGGTCTGTCGTCAAGACGAGCTAACGCAGCAGCTAGTTGTCGTCTTTGCGCGCTGTAACGAGGGCAGTGACAGAGAACGTGCTCTATAGTTTCATCGCTGCCGCAATGACCGCAAGCAACACTGTCTTCCATGTCGATTCGGAAGGCGAAAGCTTTGGTGAAGGCGACACCAAGCCATAGTCGGCAAAGCACCGTTGTCTCGAGTCGAGAGAGTCCAGACGGAGGCCGGAGTCGACGAGACGTGTCCAGTCTACGCAGTCGCGTGTGCCGTAAGCACTCGGTGTTCCACAGGGATTTTAATTCTGCATTAGCGATTTTTCGGATGGTCATTGCAGCATCAGTCCTTGAAAATGGTATAGATATTTCTTCACCATCTTCGTGTGCTGATCGGGCAGCTGCATCGGCATGTTCGTTGCCCAATATGCCGTAGTGACTTGGAAGCCACTGAAACGTGATTCTGTGTCCTTTGTCGAAGAGGTGGTGAAGCAGCTCTCTAATTTCCAGCACTAGTTGTTCATGAGGTCCCCGGCGTAAGGCGAATATCAAACACTGTAGTGCTGCCTTAGAGTCCGTGAACACGCTCCATTCCTTGGGTGATGAAAGGAACTTTATATTTGACCTATGCGCTGCTTCGCATGCTACTCATGGTTATCTTTAGTGCGAGATTGATTGATTAAAACTTTATTTTTGTCCTGAGAAGATGCAGGGGAGACCCCGCGCCACCCGGCTAATCCCACGTAGTAGAGGGTGTGATTTTTGTCAGTGCTTCCTTTTACAGCGAAAGCTGCCATGAGATCGCAACACAGGTTGCGTGCGCTATATATAGTTGTCCGCTGCTGCTGCCGCCGCTGGTGTCCATAACCACTATCGCACGAAATAACAAAAAAAAAACTCCCTAAAAAATCCAAGGGTACAATGGGGTTCCCCTGCGTGCCAGCCCAATATCAAGCCAAGTCGGTGCCTGAAACTGTTGCAAACTGCCCCCCCCCCCCATTACTAAAGTTCCAGGCATAATTCTTCATTGTCGTCAGCCAAAGCACAAAAAATTGCACAAAGTTCCTTGCAAGTGTGCAGCAAGTACCACGCTTCCCCGAAGACTGACGAAGGATGGCATAGTGAATTTTTGCCTACTACACAATAATTAATGGCGTAGTAGGTACCCTGCAAGTACGCTTGTTGAAAAAACGGCTCTGAAATACCGCTCTTCTAGCTTTCGCTGTGACAGTGCTGGGAGTTCAGCGCAGGCGTTTCATTTTTTTTTTCTATAGTACTACGCGGTGTTCTGTTTGGTGTACATGTATACCGTAGCGAGACATTGCACGTGCCTAGGTGGTATTGAAGCTAGTGCTCTCCTCTCCTCTAAAGACTCCCTCTTCTCTTATTACTCCGAATGTTGACCCTTGATAACACGGAAAATCGGGTCGCATTGTGTGTCTAAATGTTGCCAATTATGCCTGACTCACCAGAACTCGCCGTCGTCTTTCACCACGAGTCCCAACTCCTGCCGTTTTTCTTCGCTGACGTTGGCCCATTTCCTTGACCTGCAAAAATTGTGTGTCAAGGTGGCTGACGTTGAGCCTCGCTTTCAGAAATATACAAGCGCAAGCGAAGAAAATCAGTTGGCAACTCAGTGATGGGATAGTGATTGAATGAAGAAGTGACTCGTCATGGCAGCTCAGCGGCTAAAGTGCCTTGCTACTGAGCTTGAGGATGCGGGTTCGATTCCCGGCCATGGTGGCCACATTTCATTGGCTATGTAATGGAAAAACACCCACGTGCTCCGAAGTAATTATTGATTGAGATGTGCGGTTTAACGTCCCGAAACCACCATATATGATTATGAGAGACGCCATAGTGGAGGGCTCCGGAAATTTCGACCACCTGGGGTTTTTTAACGTGCATTCGAAGTTGAGCACATAGGCCTACAACATTTTTGTCTCCATCGAAAATGCAGCCGCCGCAGCCGATATTTGAGTCCGCGACCTGCGGATCAGCAGCCGAGTACCTTAGCCACTAGGCCACCGCTGCAGGGTGCATGCTTCGAAGTAGATATGTAACTACACTGCTGGTACGAACTATGCGTAAACACACAACATTTCATTATGACAATGTCTGATTTGTTTTTTTTTCTCTCTCTCAGTGGATATAGTTAGTTCATCCTGCAAACACCCAATACAGCAAACACCATAAATGTACTGAGGTTCTTCATGCCATCGGTTGGAGGCCGGGAATAGATCTTTATTTTGTAAAAGTGATCCTGTGCTGTTCTGTGTGCAGCAATTCTGGGCACTGTCCACTCGGGCAATTTATCAGATTATCCAGCAATGCGTCATGTAGCTCAGCAGGAAGAACACCAACTTGAGATATTTCAAACTATTGTCAAACTTCAACATCTTTCAGTTTGGAACGTCGTGAGGTTATTCTCTCCTAAACATATTTTACGTTTATTTATCGCACCTGCTAGATTAATTGTACCAGTATGCTTCAGACATAAAAACAAAAACAAATGCATACTTGTCAGACCAAGCACCTTTCCACTCTCCACTTCCCCATGGGTTTCTAATACGAACAATTCGCTTCTCCCGTCCATCCACCGATACCTGAAAAGGAAACGGACATACTTATTGTTTGGTTTATTGATTAGCTTACTGTCTGATTATTGATTTATTAACTAGAAAATGCTGTAGGAATTAAAACGTCAGCACAAAAACAACGTAACAGTGAAACTCGGCTGGTCACAAGAATTCATTATTGAAGAAGCAACACCTCCGGATGCTAACAAGTACTTCAAGCTTCTCTGTACTTTGGCATTATTCAGAATATACCTTTGACACGCTGAGTTGTCCATTGTGTGTAAACGTTCTGTATTCATTTCGTTCAAGAAATACATTGCAGCTTAACTTCTATTGCCTTTTTTTTTAATCGGGTGATGTGATTATCCTTGTTCAAAGATTTGTATTCTGGATAGCGCAAGTATATACCTGACGTACATACGATACATTTTTCTGCAACTTATCACACAAAAGACGACGCCGTAAGCTTTAGTTGAGATATATACTTCCCACAGAGAAATTTCACGTCCATCGATCCCCACAGTGCGTGAAATGCACGTGCATATATCGTATTTTAGTTACCTGTGCGGCACCAGTTACGCTGTACTCGTGAAAAGCTTGCAATCCTTTTTTGCCTCGCTCCGATTCCTGCAGAGAGACAGAAAAGGGCAGTTTTGGTGTCTGTGGACCGCGTGTGAAGGAAGAAAAGAAAATAGTCATCACTTGTTTACACTACTTATAAAGCAAATAATGTAAAGCCGAACTGCATCGTCTGCAACACTGCATCTTAAATGTGACTAAAAATTATGTCCACTTATTTTTGTGTCACCGTCTGTAGTATCTATTGTCTGGTCTCTATCTATTGTCTGGTATCTATTGTCTAGTACCTATTTTTCTGGTCCCGTCTTTCTTTCCTCTCCGTTTCCTCCTTCCCGAAGGAGCATGCAGGCATTGTGCTCCTTTGAGCGGCGGTTGTCAGCTTGCTCTCTCCGGCGATTTATTATGGGTCTCTATTTCTTTTGTGTGTGGAAACCGAGTAATAAAAAAATATTAGGGCAGCTTGGCAATTAGCCCGAAAAGTGGCGCCGCCTGGTAGGAGGCTAGCGTGACGTCACGGCACGGACTCTTCGAATATTGCTGTGGCGTGCGTATACACATAACACGCGCTCACTTCTAACGCCGTTGCGCTGCCAGCGTTAACTTTTTGCTTGTCTCACGCACAAGAGAAATGGCAATAATCAGCATCCATGATTTTCCTGGTAAAACAACGAAAAGCTAAACTTTTTCCAACAGTAGAATCACCAACGGTGCCTGCGCTCCAGCGTACACGCTTGGATGAGGTTTGTTACGGTGTCGCGCTGCTTACTTCGAAGATGGGTTTAAAATTCTCGGCTACGGCAGCCGCGCTCCGACGGGGGCCCAAGAACAAGATAAAGCATGTGAAGCAGGTTAAAAAATGCACGGTGACCACACTATTACTCTGCAGCGTGCCTCGCAATCATGTCGCACGTCTGAAACGTATACAACAGCGTACTTGCATTTCAGGTTGCATTTTTTACGGGTGATTCCTTTAAAAAGATGTGATTGTTTCAAATCCACATTGATATCTGTATCACACGCATCGAGGTAACTGCTGGCAGCTTTTTTTTTTTTTCTTGTGGGCGCGTGCTCAAGTTAGTATCGAGTGTCGCAAAATATCTCAAATGCACTCGCCCGAAAGTATATACCACCACAGCTGTTGCGTTAAATTTTCTTGTGTATAGGTGCTCACATTTCATCACGTTATTTAGCTTCATGTTTTTGTCAGTAATTTCCCTGCTCAGTTTCATTACAAAAACAAGTTGAGGTTAGTTGCAGAAACTGCTACTGATTTCAGATAGTGTCTATACGTGCAAGATCCCAGCAACTGTGTCGTCACGCTTGTAAGTACCAGTTTAGATAGCAACCTGATGAATAAATTTTTCCCGCGGTTGATTACCCCAGAACAGCATCAATCTGTATATGACCATGACGTGCGAGACCAATCGTTGCTTCATTGAGGCAAAGGGTGTTTTATTATCACGTGGGCCACCAAGCGGTGTGTGCCATCGAAAGAGTTCGTTTCGACCTTCTGCTGGTTTCTCTTTTTGGAAACGATTACTATCAGCAGTGCTCCTGCGTGAAGTGAACATTACTTTTTATGACGTGATGATAGATTGAGTCAGCTATTCGCGTATATCAGGATATGCGACTACGTAATCCTGACGACTGTTGAGAAGAAATCTGTACACGAGATCCGAGTATACCAACTTCCCAGAATTCCGGAAACCACTCTGTGGTTTACAGCGTTACTTTTTGTATCGCTATTATCAGTGATTGTGTATGAACGACAGATCCATATAACGTCTCCTGCATTCCAAAGCGGAATTCTGTCTAATGAGCTCCATTATTTGCAGAGGCAGACATAACTTGCACTGTAAATCGCAATGCTGTGAGCAGACTGAAAACGTCCTAATTCCATTTGTTCGACACAAATGTTTAATCGCGTACTCCATGCCAAGTTGTAATGCAGTCAGACCCATTTAGCACGAATATTTTCTCAGCATTGATTTCGTCGAAAACGGGCATGGCGAAGACAACTAGTGTCTCGCTGTCCTGCACCTTTCATTTTCCAAGTGGATCCATACTTTCTGAAGCTTAGTTAACTTTTAACAGCAATAAATACATTGACTTTGTACCTTTAGTGATCTACTACTCGAAATTGAGAAGAAATCGCCACCGTATCTCAGAAGAGCGGGCACACGGCGGGCTCGGAAAGAACCGACCGTTGGCATGCGTCGGCGGCGGAGCAGGCGAGTCCGTGCCGTGATGTCACTTCGCCGCGACTACAGCGACGCCAATGTTCGTCGTGATGTCACTTCGCCGCGACTACAGCGACGCCAATGTTCGTTCTCGGGGATAGTAGTGGTGGCAAGTCTGAAGGTAGTACGGAGCTGAGTGGCGTCCCTTGCTTTGTTTTTTTTGTATTTTGTTGTCCCTTTTCTTCTTTCTTTTCTGTTCTGCCTGCCTGTTATATCACTGTCTCTGTTTACTTTTATTTATTTCTCTTTCTCACTTTTTCTATCTTTCTTCCCTTTCTTTATCTATTTCTTGCTTCCACTTCCTTTCTCTTTTGTCTTCATCTCTATCGTTTCTTTCATTTTTTTGTGCCTGTTTATTTCTATCTATCCCTCTATCTCTCTCTGTGTGTATTTTTATCTTTTCCCTTTCCACTCTTGCTTTCTATCTCTAAATTTCTTTCTCTCTCGCCTTCTTTGAATCTGCACCCGTTCGCTCGCCCATCATATTTATTGCATCCAAAGCAGAACAGACTGGCGCACATGTTCTGCAGGAGAATCAAGCAGAAGATGAAAAAAAAAACGAAGAAAACGCGTGCCGGATCGTTATGGCAACCATTTTCGTTCGCGACTAACGAAGTTTCTACGTGCTTAAACAGCTCCGCTGCTGATGACAATAATGGGAATTATGCTGCTGGACAGAACTCGAACCCTTGTCCTCGGGATCGGCAGTGCAGTATACGTTAGCTATATAAGCGGTCACGGAGTGACACAACGAGCTCTCGGGGCTTCGAGTGGAGAAAGAAGAAAACGCTTACTACGATGGAACACGTGATGAGCGATTTCCTCGCCAGCGCCTTCTGAATGATCTGGAACATGTTTTTGGGCGGATGCTCGAGGATTAGCTGCTCCGTGAGTCCTCCTGTGAAGGTGCCCAGGGCTTCGTTGCCGCTGCCTCCAACAAGGGCGGCGTAGCCGCCGTGGAGCCTGCAGCGATACTTCAATGAAACTTCTGAGGTGTTGAGCAGCAAAGAAAAGTTTTTTTTTGTTTTGTGTTTTAACTTGCATTAAATGGCGAGAGATGTTTTGTAAGGGTATAATGAGTAGAGCACTGGCGCATGCCAGCTGTCAGTGTACATGTGTAGCAAAGATTTTTTTAGAGCAAAAATAGTTACGAGCCCTTAATTCTTTACATCTGATGTCCCAAAACTACGTGTTTATGAGGAGAGCTGCTCTAGTTGAGGGCTCTCTTTTTGTTTCACTTTGTATGTACTATATCCAATGAATTCAAGAGCCCCCTTGTAAGCGCTTATACTTATGGCTAGAGTGTATCGAACTTGTGAATAAGGTATCACTATATTTTCTGTCTCTTGCGCACCGGAAGCTTGACTGAAGTACGTGAGGCCTGTGGTCGCCGAAGTTTTGACCTGCCACATTAAAATGTCGTGTCACTGCTTTCCGTAATTTCTTTGAACTATGTTTACGTCCGTCTGTAGTGTTTAGAAGACAACAGGAAGCAGTTAATCGTCTGTCCTGCAAGTACGCTCCGAAATATGCTCACTTGGCGTAAGCTTTTTCCAGGAGGGCACTCCAGAACTCGTTGCTCGCGCTGGATGAGACGAAGGCGAGCTTATTTTCGTCTTTCCGGCACGGGAGCCTGTCGTCGATCACGACGTCGATCCATCGGTTGGCCTTCCACAGCCGGAAGTGAAAGATGCCGGCGTACTTGTCCTTCTCGAAGCTCTGGCCCTCGGGCACCACGTTTTTGAACAGGTCCTTGTGCAGGGTCAAGGTGGCCATGGATGCCAGCACCCAGCAGTTACCTGGCAGTACAAAACTTACATTCGTTGTCAGGAATATTTTTGGGATGGAAGGGGGGGGGGGCACTTGTTGAAAGCTTCAAAGAACAACTTTTTTTTGTTATTTTTCCTCGATAAAACACCCTGTTTCGTCCGAATTTTGACCCCCTCCTCCACCTGGATACGAGCCGGATGTGTCAAAAATGACAAGTTTCTGGCCAAATAATTGAACTGTTGTGAAGTGCACTTCGTCACTCACCAAGTCCACCTTGCTCGACATCGAAGCGACTGAAACTTTCATTCAGAAAGGCAGGGTTTTCGCAGATCTCCTGAAAAGGAAAAAAATAATTTAGCAAATGTTTGATGATACTAACATAGGCGTGCCACTATAGCCATACTAAATCAGGCTGTAGGTAATCTAGAGCGACGTGCAGAGGTGACCAGCTTAACTTAAAATTGACTTTTTTTGACACCTTGCAGTGAATGCCTTAGTATTGTCCTTAACTGTCAACTACTGAAATAATACAGCGACTGTATGGCTCTGAACATGAAGTCGTGTATTCGACTCCCGACTGAGAAATTCTGCCTCAAGAAAAATTAGAACAAGTTTTTCATCTCTACTACGGGTGATGTAGTGAGCGCTTCAATAAAAAGAAAATTAATATAACGTACTTTATATAAATATCTACTTGCCACCATAACTTATAATACATTATTCGTATGCCAATACATGGCCTCCGAGATGGCGGGCGCGCAGCGGGTTGCGCCCGCCATCTCGGAGGCCATGGCTGAACTATTAATAGCTGTTAAATGCTCGTGATGAAGACATCGCGATGATGGGACGAAGGCGAAGGAACTCGCAACACAAGCGCTGTTTTTTTTTTTCGCCTTCATCGCATTTTTGTACAGTTTTTATTGCAGTAACATGTAGAAATTGTCCCTTCAAGATACCCTTATCCTGTTTATAACTCTCTCCAGTATTCCGAAAAAAAAAAAGGAAAGAAAGAAAAGGAGCATCTATAACAGAGGATGCTTTAACTCATTACTACGCTAAAATGGAAATTTTAGATTTTCAAAAAGCTCGTCAGCACGCACTACGAATGATATGCTTGGCATCGCATACTAAAAAAGACCCAACTCTTCAGCATAGATTCAGAGGATTCTTCTGCAGCATGTCGCGTAGCCTTGCTGAGGCATACGTTTTTACGGGATCTTATTTTAGAAAGCTTGAAAATGATACGCGTTCGTCCGCGCTGCCTCCCTTATAAATGTGTTGCTCTGTTTGGCAACTTACATCTTGGTAATCAGTCAATAAATCCAAACGGGAAAGGTTACTATAAGACTAGGGCAGTGCCGATGCAATGTTTGAAAATGAGATGTTTTTTGCTTACCCAGGGCCTCTTCCAGACGATTCTGAATTGTGGTTTCGTGGTGCCCCAGGCAGTCTCCCGAACACACGGAAACTCGTGATCCTCAAACAGCTCCTGGCGTTTCAGGCATTCTTTCAGCAGGACTTCGTAGTCCTGAGGCTCGCCGCTTCTCGTCTTGGTGCCGGAGAAACGCTCCCCGAACTGCGCAGACGCAAGCTCGTTGTTGTTGTTGTTGTTGTTGTTGTTGTTGTTGTTGTTGTTCCTGTTGAATTTCACTATTTAGATTATGGGAAAAACTTTAGGAGGTAGGCTGTGTTAGCCTGGCTGAAACCTCATAAATTTTTGTTGTTGTTAACCTTCTCTTGTGGCTCACCCACTGTGGGAGATCGGGCAAGGACTGAGTGGTCTTATAAAATTTTATGGAGTTTATAAGCAATTATAAAAAAAAGAAAAAGTATTACTCAGAAACAATATGTATGAGTGTAATTGTGAGCGCAGAATTTCTTTGTGGGAGGAGGAGGGGGATTGAAAGATGAAGGACACGGAGGTTAGCCAGGGCCGAGTCCTATATATATAAGCAAGACTAAGTAAAGGTACCCTCATATTCTGTCGCAATGCAAGATGCCCGGGGAAGACGTATGTGAGGCAAGATACTTCCGGAAATATTCTACATCGACCCAATACTTCCCAATTGTATCTTAAGACAGATACATCTACAAATTCCATATTATAGATCTACATAATGAAGCAGCACAGGCCTATATACAAAAGCCATCGTAAGTGGCCAAATGAACAAATCCTTGAAAGAGAGCGAACGTGAAGCGCAGCCGAGCATGAAAGACGGAGATAGCGAGGAAAACGCGAAAAGACAGCGACAATGGCGAGACGACAGGTTCTGCACTGACCACCCGGGGCGCCACAGTAGTGCCTGCTGCCGTGTGGTCGCCGATGACGTCATCACAAGGTATGTGGTGAGGGCGTCCACCGATACCATATATGGAAGAAAAGCGCTGCTTAAACGGGGGCCTGTCTGCGGTGGCTGTTGTGGAACTCGCCCACGCGCTGCCTTCCATGTTCTTTTGGTTAGCGATGCCCTCGCGCCTTAAGTTATCGCATAATCAAAACAATTAAACAGCTGCGCTCACAATTCGCATAAGGCAGTAGCGTAATTCTCGGTATGTTTCAACCCAGTGGTGAATAGTGCTGCAGGGGGTTCGAACCACGGACGTTTTGCATGCGAGGCTGATGCTCTACGTAACATCGCTGCATTCCGTAACATCACGTGAAATCATGTAGCGTCATGTAAAAATAGTCACGTGACATGTTCCTGCCCAAAACCATGAAAAGCGTGTGCAGTGTGGGAAACGGACCGAAACGAAAGAAAAATGGCCAAGCCTTACTAGCAAAAACTTAGACGAAGCTAGGTCGAACACAAGCTCTGCATTGGGTTCCAGCCTTGCACCACTAGTGAAAGCTGCGAATCTTTTTTGGCAGTGATGTGTTTTAGGTGTTGAGATGAACATGGCGACCAATATCCGGACGCAACAATATCTTAACATTTGGATCACTATCTAACGCGAAGTCTCGCGGCCACTTTTGCATTTTCTCATAATTACTCGAAAGCTACAGCTCTTCATTCTCTTTTTTTTTTCTCTCACTCCCAACCGAGTTGTCGACTAATCACCACAGCTCTGATCATAAAGACATGTTTGAAAAATTTCCATTAACACCACCCACTTTTCGACCTGTCGTGATTTCAAGTGGTAAATTCCTTTGGATATAAATTTGATTAAATTAGTTTACGTTCTAGGTTTAGGGGCCTATTTCTGAATGAAATGGCAGGTGCAGCTGCAAAGACATGTTGCCCCGCCGCGGTGGTCTAGTGGCTAAGGTACTCGGCTGCTGACCCGCAGGTCGCGGGTTCAAATCCCGGCTGTGGCGGCTGCATTTCTGATGGAGGCGGAAATGTTGTAGGCCCGTGTACTCAGATTTGGGTGCACGTTAAAGAACCCCAGGTGGTCAAAATTTCCGGAGCCCTCCACTACGGCGTCTTTCATAACCATAAGGTGGTTTTGGGACGTTAAACCCCACAAATCTGCAAAGACTTGTTTGAATGGCCTGGTTATTGAGGTACAGCTGGCGTCCAGATTTTTCATATAGGTGCCACATTAAGAAGACAAATGGTGGTAAATTAATTTTCTGCACCGTCAATAACGAGCACATTAGTATTTCAGCACATCCATCATTTTTGGATGAGTCATCATCATCATCATCATCAGTAGCAGCAGCAGCAGCAACCTGACTACTTACACTGCCGGAGAAAGGCCTCTCCCATGATTTGGATGAGTAAACTATGTCAATTATGAGCTATTGAAGAGGCAATCACTAGACTACGTTGTCAGACTCTATATAAAGATTTTATTTACAGATAGCTGGTCAGCCAGCTTTTGTTTAATTGTTCTTTTTGTGGAGTACATAAGTCAATGGAGCATTATCTGAATACCTGTTATAAAAATTCTCCTTTGCACAAAATTACTTGACATCTTCCGACTACTTAGATTAAATTTACCTGCACCAATTAAGTGCATTATAACGTACCCGATTTTGGAGATTAGTGCTGGATACCATGACGGGTAGCTTGTCAATGCCTCACCGGAATTCCTTAAATGCTCGAAGTAGAGTTAAGTTATAATGGACCACATTCCCTCTTGTTTTTCTTCTTTTTGAAACCACTTTTGTTCAAACTATCTTCATTTTTTTTCATTCATTCTGTTATATTTTTCTATTTAAGTTTTTATATTTCTTTAATTTTTTCTTTAAATTGAATAGACAGCATTTAACCTATAATTTAACGATTGTCTTTCGAAACTACTCGATTCTTGGCCAATCCCTCACTGTGGGTGCGCGTCACAGCTTCGAGGTTTTACTCTACTTTATCCCGCACTAGGTATGATACACGTGACCGAAGAAAAAGAAGCGCCGCGAAGGCTCGCCATGGCGACATTTCTGCGGAGGTGCAACATGAAGAAATTCCTCTTTATCGCAGCAGCAGGCTCGCTCTCCTTCATCTCAGCGATCCATTTCGAGAAGCTTGCTAACGCTGTAGCAGCACCGCCTTCAATCTCGCTGACAGCACAGCCTCAAGAACGCGACACACCGACACAGCCTGCCTTGCAAGTCCCGCGAGATAATACGAGCTGCCCGCACAAGATCGACTCCCAGGACGTGCATGGACCGGACAAGGATTGGCACATCGGTGGGTGGGCGGTCCGCCAGCTCTGCAGTCAACCACTGGACACCCTAGTGTTTGTTCACGCGGCGCCCAGCCACTGGGAAAACCGCGCACACATGCGCGCCACACTTTTCGAAGAGGCCGCAAGAGCCGCTTTCAACTGGACGGGCGTCTTCTTCGTCGCACAACACAAGGACCCCTTGGTAAACCTTGGACGAAGCTCGAGGCCGAATTCACGGGTGACGTCGTCATATTTCCTCACCATGATTCCTTCCCCAGCGTCATCAACAAGTTCGTCCGTGGCATGCGGTGGGTGACCCAGTACTGTCCCAAGGTGCGGAACATCGTCAAGATCGACCACGACATCGGTGTGGAACCATTCAAGCTTCGGCAGTACCTGGACAAGAGTCTACCCCTGCATAAGAGATCGATCTCTTGCCTTGTGTGGATGTACGCTAGAGTATCCCGAAACGTCAGCGACAAGCACTGCATTCCGGAGGACGATCTCCCCATGGACTTCTACCCGCACTACTGCAGCGGTCGCGCCATGATCATGACGACGGACACGATGGAGAAGCTGTACAGGGCCTCGAAGATTGTCAGGGGTTATCAGATAGATGACACCTACGTGAGCGGACACGTCGCCATGTTGGCTAACGTCGGACACGTGGACATAGGCAGCCAAGTGAGCTTCAATGCCTGGGATAAAAGCACGCAACTCATGCTCCAACCAAAGGCGATCTTCACGCACGACCACTCTATTTACGGAAATTCTATTGGTCGGAGAGCACAGTGGGGAATGAGTATCTGGACGCAAATGATGGAGGCCCCTGGAAGACACGTGTTTAATTTATCTAACCGATTCGTTGACCAGATGTACAGGCGCGTTTTTCATGAGACACGTCGTGCCTTAGGAGGAAGATTGCAGTGGCTTTCGCGTAATTGGCTATAGCACTTCCCGCGTAAACAGTTAGTGAAAAACGTACAATAAAACGCCATGGAATAAGAAACTGATGGAGTCCTACTATTTGTGAAAATGTTTCAGTGGCAGCTAGAGGGATGATACTATAGGGAGTTTTAGAATAGCGCACCGCGAGCCCTTGCGGTGCGGTCGCTGCCACTGCGCATGCGTCGTAACGCGAGTCGGCGTTCGCGTTCGTGGACCGCACGCAAAAAATCCGAAATCGCGTGCGGTGATGGCGGCCCACATGTGGCCCGCAAGCGCTGGTTTCGAGGCTACGGGCGGTGGTGGCAACGCCTCCTTTATTCCAGAGGAGGCGTTGGTGATGGCGGCCCGCATGTGTCCCGCAAGCGCTGGTCTCGAGACTACGGTGTCGCCGCGATCGTGCGTTGCGGATCGCAGCAGGGCAAACGCTATTCTAAAGCTCATATGGCGCCCGCTACGCCCGCAGCGCTTGCAAACGGTATTCTAAAACTCCCTATTAGCGAGTTCAAGTTGACCAGAAAACGCTGACATTAGCATGCATGCGTCGCAACGCAGACGCTTGAAGCGGAACTCGTGGCATGCCAACTGATGGGCTTTCATTACAGCAATAGGCATTCCCGCTAACACAAATGCAATAAAGCCGGAAGCACCTTCGGCACCCTCTAGTTACGAAAACACTACATACACTGTAGAGACCTTAACAGTGTGCCACTAAATTGAGCTGACCCAAGGTTGCCGTTGCGTCTCCATGCCGCGTTTGGTAAAGTGTCTGACGGCCCTGAACGCATCACTGTTTTTTTCGACATATGCCACAATCTTGTATTCCTTCAGACCCATATTTCCTGCTTCAGCTTGATATATGGCCGCATTTGCCTTATCTTGGAAGCAAGTAATTGAATACGAGGTCGCCTTCTCTTCGTGGCTATACTGAAAACACGAACGAACCTTGTGAAGAAGTTTTATTGTATGCCGTCGGCATCCCCGAATCGACTGTGTGTCTCAAAAACGTAGCTATTTTATCGGCAGTACACAGGTGGCGAAGCCTTGTTACTCAAATCTAAATGAAATGCTATACCAGTATGTGGAAATGAAGGAGTTTAATAATGCAGGCTGACGACTATAAACATTCCAAGGAGACGGCTCTCGCTTCAACAGGCACCACGACGTTTTCTTACATATATGAAATCGCTTGCGTGAGTTAGCGTTGAACGCTATATTGCATAAATAGCGTTCGTATAAGTAAGAGTTCGGGCTACGTTAACTTTGTGCCCAGGCTCAGTTTGTAGCACGCAACGCTAACGCTAAATTCTCGCGTTTGCTGTTTCCCGCCATACTAAAACTCGCGATTAGTGTTTTAGTATAGCGGAAAACAGCAACCACAAGGATTCATCGTTAGTGTTAGCGTTGCGTGTTCTTAACTAAGGCGAATGCGACCACAAGTCAATCTAAGGCAGGTAGCATGGGATCTTGGGGAATATTCGATTACTGCGTATGTCGAAAGAAAGCGATGTGTTTTCGACCGTCAGATGCAGCACTGGACCAAACGAGGCACGGAGACGCAGCAATGGTGACTTCGGGTCAACTCGATTTAGTGGCGCACTTGAGGTTTCTGCAGTGGATATAGTGTTTCATAACTAGATGGCGCCGTAGGTGATTGCGTTTTAATAGCAGGAATGCCTTACGCTGTACTAAAAAACCACCAATTGGCAGGCAGCGCGGTTTGTTTTAGCATGAGTGCTGAGACGCACGCTAACGATAACACAAGTTTCTTCCGAAACTCTAACAACACGTGCGTAGCACCACTGCAATTGTGGCATTGTTCAGATTAACAAAAAGCAAGCAAATAACAATAAATTAGGTTGTGCTCGACGAAAGTACATGTACTTTCGTCGAGCACAACCTAATTTATTGTTCTTTACTTGCTTTTTTGTTAATCTGAACAATGCCAGTATTTCTTAATGAAACATCACTAGCATTCGAAATAACTTGCGTAATTCATCGTTATCAGTTCGGTAATGATAAGGCTGTATGCGTGTGCAGAATTGCATACTTATTTATATTCATATGTGGATACAGAAGTATAGATGTAAATCAATGCGAATGTACATGAATAGATACGGATATGTGTAGGTACATTCATAAGGGGGACTCGCTCTTTGGATTTCGCGTCGACAGGCTGTGCCCCCGCGATCTCTGACGACAGCGCAGCTCTGGCCGACTGGGCTCGCCTACGCCATCTCCTGCCGCCGACAAGAGCTCATGCTGAGTGGTGCCCCGTCCTCGGACTCCTGCGACCATGTCCATCTTTCCTATCTCCTATTTACTTTCGTCGTTTTCTGTCGTTCGCTATCTCTGCGCCTTGCTCTCTCCTTCCTCTCTCTCTCTATGTACCTTTTAATCCTGTCCTTTTAATTCCTCCTTACCCCCATCCCTCGTGAGCTATGGTGTCGCACTCTGATGCAGACAGTTAAGGGGCTCACTTTTTCTTCTTTTCTCTTTAAGAATCACATAAGTACATTCATAAGGGGGAATATCTACAGACGTTTTATATGCATAGGTGTCGCTAGAGATGTGTGCAGAATGTATTGTAACAATAATTCTATTCATACACTGAGTACTTGAAGTCGAACCAGTAGACAGGATCCTATTCATGCTGCTGTGTCGTGGCCAAGCTACTGCATGAAGCTGCATCTGGTTAACCTCCCTGCCTTCCTTTTTTCTCGTTTCTCTCTCTCTCTGCATGAAGTCACCATAATTGGTACTTTAGTCTGACATCAAGCTAATGTCAATATCGATTGGTCTGCCACAAAAAAATTGACTTTTAATATCATAAGAAGATATCTTATCAGCGTTTTATGAGTCTCGCACTTGCCTCAAAGCCGTCTCTATGGTAGAGTGATTTGCAGGACAATGCAAGCACACCTACGATAGATAGTGTCCGTACCCCTTTCAGGCACAGGACGCTTAGTTCGACTTGTTCGCGTGACATTAAGCATCATGTCTTACAAATCGATGATGCCATCACATTTCTCTGAAATCTCACTCGTGCACATACAAACCTCATGGGATATCTTTTAGACGGCAGAAAGCACCTCCCAGCTGAAAAAGCGAAGCGTTTTCAGTGTAGTCATGTAAGAGCCCTTTGGAGCTGGCGCGGGGACAAAACGTCAACGCAACACCCATTGTTTTCGATTGTTTTCGCCGCAAGCTTAGCGCGATACTAAGACGTTGAAAAGACGAAGCAGTAACGCCCGAGCGCCCGTGACACTGGCTGCTATCCAGAAGCAGCTGGCTGGAACAATTAACAGAAGGCAAATTCTTGCACATCCATGAAATACTCTGCTGCGGCGCCTCTCGATGTATAAACACCCAATAAGACGAGGATAACCGATCTCAAAGGTTCCCGTAGACACAATATTGCACTAGATGCTAGATAGTCAAATCGGCGTT